TGGAGAGGTCAGTGATACACGAAAGAGGAGAAAAACACCGAAACGGCCTAGAACTCAAGTAATGTGACCCCTTCCTTGTCGCGTTGGTTTTCCGCATTGATGCGACTCTCGTCCTGTCCTCAACGTCTTCTACGCTCTATCTGCTAAATGGTGAAACCTAGGAAAGCGAGAAGGGCGTACCACGCCGACAGTACGCTAGTAGCACCGCGGGTAAAGCTATGCTAGATGGCCGGGCATATCTTTTGATGTAATCAATCCCTTTCGGAATACGCCACGCATCCCACATCGATTCAGAATCGTTTTATGAATTGAATGTAATGTAATATATACTACGCTGGTCAAAATTTGAGGGGCAAGTCGGTATACGACGTAGTGATCCCTTTTCTACAGACTAGTCTAGTACCATTTATTCGACCGGGCGGTGGAGGCTACCGTTAGCCTATGAGAAACTGAATCAGGGATATGATTAACGAGCCATACGTGTAGGAAATGGCGCCCACTTCCCACAACACCACTTTCGTCCTAAGGAAACAATAAAGAATAACGAGAAATATATTATTTAACCACTCAAATCTTGGCTATTACCCAACTCATACAAAGCGAAAAACAGTCTTAAAAGGCATGCCCCAGGATTACATTGGTGTGGCTCTTGCAAAAGGAAAAGAATCTTTCCAAAACGTTCAGGTTCAGGGCTCACTCACCTTCCTAATCGGCTGTGCTAAGGGAATGAGAGACTAAGCGCGGAGAGGAGAGTATGAGGCGAGAGAGCGCTACAGATGAGAGAGCGCCAGACAACAGCCTGATAAGAGAAAAAAATCTGCAGCTTCAGCAGCTTACTTTGCAAGGCCCAAGCGCTCTTGTCGGTTGGTTTCCGTGCACGGGAACGCCACATTTGTGATTGTCCTCTAGGGGTCTATACTACAGACCGAAGGGAAGCGTTCACACGACCTCTGCCTGGGTTGTGCTTTAAAAAACCTTTGTGCTCATACATATAATGCGATGGTGCGGCTGAAATTTTCTCTGAATCATGCCTTTTTCCAAATTCTACGAACCCACCATATATAATCTGATCATAACTTATGTACCTCTCATCGTATCTAGTTTTCCGGTGACAGGCCAGCTCCCAATCCACAATCCGCCGCATTAGTGATGTGGTAATAGTCGATATGTTTTCCTGTGCCCGAGTAGGGGGGAATAACAATATGGAAGGCTGCACCCAGTCGAGTGGAGTCGATGACAAGGTATTGTTCTCAAAAACAAGTATTTCGTCTGTTCTCTGCTTGACTCTTACGAACTAGCGCTCATCTGTTGACAGGCCTAACAAGTATTGAGTTTTGGAAGAAAACTCTTCCTTTTAGCCTTGATATATTGTTGATATATTCTTGTAACCGATCAAATAGACATTTTTCACTTTCCGTAATGACCTGCTATTTGATGCATCTTTTTTACTTCCTTTTATCCCTTTATTATCTCCATCCCTTCATTGTATCTTCATTTTTATCCATAATACAAAGATCACAACATGAACGTCACGAAATCACAACGTGAAGCAAAGACCACAGTTTACCCTGGTATTATAGGGCTTCGAAGTAGACTTCTTATCGCAAAATCATCCTTTATTGCAAGGCAGCGATAACGATAGCTTAAAGTTGACGCGGGGTGCAATGGCGGAAAAAGCAGGGAAATCCGTCGATAAAACGTTGAATGGGACCCCCCCCTCCTTGTTTGGCCGTTGATCTTCATTCAAGGATGCGCAATGGCTAGCGTTAAGACAGACGTATGAACGAGTTCACCGCAACGCGTTCGGTGCACCATACCCCGACCATGTTCCAGTCAAGTTGCTCCAGTTGTGCCGCTGCTGGCAACACAGCTCGTCCAAATCACCAACTAAACTAGTGGGCGGATCGCTTTTGGGGCGGGCGCTTTTCAAGTCCTGCTCAGCAACCAGCACCATTTTGTCGTGAAAGCGCCACAGCTTGCTTCCTTGACAGCCAAGTAACTGCTTCGTGTGGCGCTTCCCCAATGTGCTCCCTCTTACCGTAATCGCTTCCTTTAATACAAGTCAGGAATTCGTTCTGTCACTATTAACTATGTAGTCATTTTTATGTGAAATTCGTTGTTTTCCCATTCGATATCCCAAAAAGCTGTTTTGATGACACCTGCATAAGGTTTTACATGATTACACTTTTTCAGATGGTCGTGGAAACGATCACACTTTCAAATGGAGCCAACATGCCCTTACTGGGTCTTGGAACGTGGCAGGTGGTTGCTTTTCTCCTAATTCTTACTTTAATACCTAATCTACTTGTCGACTTCGTACACTTTGTTACCAACGCTTCACAGCATGGGCAAGGAAATTACATCGACCAGGTTTAAAACTTGTCCCACTGCCAATGAACAAATCTCAAAAAAGATACGGGTTAGAGTCTCGCTCGAACTGTGCTTTGTCAGGACTAAGGACTTCTGCTGAAACAGTTGAAGACGGATTAAGATCCGGAAAATGGAATCCCTTCCTTGCTCGTTGTTTCTTCATTGATCAGGTTCTCATCGCTGCTGCCCTCTTCAACGCTAACGCTCTCTCTCTCTCTGCTAAACGGTAGAAGCTCGGACAGTGGGAGGGGGCGTACCAATAGTGCGCTAGTAGTGCCGCGGGGAAGGCCATGTTAAATCGCTGGAGGCATATCCTTCGATGCGAACAGATTGTCAGCCCGCACCCTGAGGAGGTCGGCCTGTCTTCTTAGGCCGATGTCAGACTTTGCGAATCGCGCGATTCGCTAGCGTCTGCGGTCGCGTCGCGGCCAGTGAATCACTCAATTGGCTGGTACCGCAACGCGACCGCGGACGCTAGCGAATCGCGCGAATCGCTAGTAGCGAATCGCGCGATTCGCAAAGTCTGACATCGGCCTTAGGAGTTTCCCCTTCTTCGATCGCTGTCATTGTGAAATCCTTTTTAAGAAAACAAAACCTCAGTCGAAGAAATTGTTCCGCCTCAATTACACAAATTGGGCTAAATAAAAGCATAAAGGATAAAGCATTTGCCGTTGATCAATCCCTTTTTGGGATGCGGCACGCATTCTACTTCCATTTGTACATTCGTAGTGGCGTTTGAATGCGATGTGGACTTGCGGGGGCCAGCCGATGATGTACAAGTCAGTGTTTTTTATCCTCCCAGACAAGTCTGGTACCAATTAACCGACCCCGGAGGGATGGAAGGCTTGGTTGGCCCGGGCGACTCACGACCCAGGATTTGATCCCGGACCGCTCGCGTGGTAAGCGTGCCACTTGCCACTACACCACTTCCGCCCCTCTGAAGAGCTTTAGTAAAATATAATGTTTATCGAGGTTTTAAATGCACTGGACCCACTGCAAGGCAATGTTTCATCGTAATATATCTTAAGAGCGCCCAAATTGAACAAAAACAATGTTCAGAAAACGTAACTACCACTCTCCCAGATATACTAAATGTTTTGTAGTAAGTATATATGACCCTTGAAGCCCTGCGAGTAACGGACCACAAACTTTGCCGAAGCATTTTCAATTGAACGCAACAAAATCTATTTGTCAATTTTTGTGTTTTCAGGCAAAAGACGAGCAAGAGTTGATGGTCTCCTTGAGGACAGCACTCGACAATGGATATCGTCTAATTGGTGAGGTATAGAGGCATTCAATTTGAGTGTGTGCAGATACTGAAAAGAACCTAATCCATTCCATCGTAGCCGGAAAAATTTTCTTCTGAGCAACGTCTGAATCGAACTTTTTCCAGACACTGCATTTTTGTACCAGAACGAAGCCATTATCGGCAATGTACTGAAGGAATACTTGTCAACAGGAAAGATTAAAAGAGAAGAGCTTTTCATCACTACGAAGGTTAGCTTTATGATATTCAAAAAGCAGAATCTCATTTAGGGGTCTTTCCCTTTCCCACACTTGTTCACTTCATTTGTACGGAGGTGGTGTGGCGGCATGTGGCGCCACTTTCCACGAGCACGGTTCGGAGGCAAAGTCTCATGGTCAGATTGGAACTCAGCCCAACTAAGCGTCCCATCCCTTCGGAGTATTATTTGGTACAGAATTGCCTTGGAAACAAAAAAATACGGCTTGTAGCACTCGCTGTCCCCGCACTGCCCTACCGCTTAAGTGCCCAATACACGCCTGGAGTAAAGTCGTACTCTCGTGCGGTATCCTCATAAGAAGATTTAGTCGACGCTGGAGTGTTTCTACCTCGTCCTGACCCATTTCAGTTTTCGATTCTTTACGGAGACTTCACTGCATCGGTTTGCTTCCAGCCCCCCCCCCGCCAGCCAAACCTTCCTTTGCCTCGGCACAGTCTGTATTTTTAGCGAAGTCAGAACTTGACTGTCACGGTCCTCCCCGAGCGAGTTGCTGAGTTTAAAAAATTTCCTCATACCAAAAAGGGCTGATCTTGCCTAAACGAATGTCATGTTTCTTCTGTTCTGCGTCGCCCCTTTGAGTCTGCAGTAGTCGCACGTCCAGCTAATGTGACCGTGCGGATTTCACTTAGCGCTTTTTATTGATCGAAATTGCTTACCTGAAACTTTCTACAGCTGACAGGATCCTAAAGTAATCCTTCCCAGCCCTATGGCAACAAGGAAAGCCGTAGATGCGTTCACGAGCTCTATATACCAAATTTCCCAGCCGAGATTGGAGAAGAAATTCCTTCAAAGGCGGTGATCACAATGGTGGAGGGCGGTGCGCTCTTGGTGACGTCGTTAGACGTCACTGATGGAAGTTCGTCAAGAGAGGGTCCAGGCACACTCGCCAGTGCGGGGATTCGCTTAGGGGTTTTTCACCGATTGCGCATCAAAGAACGTCATCCCGAATGCACCGTCCTGCAACCCTCGCGCTAAACTATTTTTACTATTCTTCTTATGCAAATGAAACAGATTTCTATGCAATGAGGATACTTATTGTACTGTAATCACCATTTTATTTTTGCATAGGTATCTCACTTCCTCAGACCTTTCTTCTTCGCAGCTGGGAAACAAATAAAGTTTACCTGCATTTTCTTCCCCATCTTCAGCTAGGAGGTTCAGCCTGTGGTTCTATTATAAATTTAAACTTCCTTTGCCATGGTGAGCCTATGTATGTGGAATGGTCGAGAGATCATGAAGGACTAAAGGTAAGGCGGATTTCACGATGAAAAGGCAGCCCCCGTAAGGAATTGAGTCAGAGAGTTCAGTGATATGTACAAGAAAGAAGAAGAAAACCGAGAAAAATAGCCTAGAACCCGAAAATGGGACCCCTTTGGCCCGTTGATTTGCGCATTGATGCGACTATCATTGGTGCTGCCTCTCAGACGCTAACGCTCTCTCTCTCTCTGCTAAACGCTAGGCTCAGACACGAGACATGACGCGGCCGAGGGGCGTACCACGCCATAGCGCGCCAATTGCGCCGCGGGAAGGCCATGCTAGATCGCCGGGGGCATATCCTTCGATGCGAATTGCGTGTCGGTCCGCACCCTTCAGGAGGTCCGCCTGTCTCTCCACTAGGTAAGTTTTCCCTTCTTCGACCTTCGTCCTTATCCGGAATCCTCCTTTTGAATGTCGTCGAAATTTTGTCAGCATATATTCAGACTTGATAACATAAAAACAATAATGACCTGTGTAATGGGGCCAAGTAGGATCGCTTGATGAGACAATTAATCATTAATATTTTTAGTTACCGTTCACTGCTCACGCCGCAGAAGATGTGGAGAAATGCGTAAAACTGCAATTGGAAGCTCTTCAGCTTGACTACATCGATCTCTATCTTATTCACTGTCCCTGCCCTTTCGAGGTACTTTTTTCGATACTTCAGACTACTTAATCAGGTAACAAGTAAGCTGTCATGGAGGCTCGTGTGACTGTGGAAAAGGAATCAACAATTTAGCATGCAAACGAAAAAGTATTTTTTCAATTGGATGAGAGTATATGGGAAAAATAATTTTTTCTTCCATTTTGTATGTAACGAACGTGGCTTTATTGAGCATAAAGGCAATACAGTATACCATGTATTACTGTACAAAGACTCTGACGTAAGCTGTAGTAGTATAGGAACTTTCACAATTCAATTTCAAATATGACGTAGTTTGCGCATTTTCTAGATGGATGGCTGTCAACTTAATTTTGACTGTAATTTGCCTCTCCTTTTACATTTACTTCCTGATTTTTCCTATAGATCAGCACGGACATTTGGTACCATTTCCTGGTCTAACAATGCTAACGATTTCTTATACGAATATGTTATCTCTACAAAGATTGTGCGCTTTTATGAACATATTCGCGTACAGAGCAGAATTTTTCTTTTCAGCGGAAGAATGACACTTTCCTACCAAACGTTGTCAATGGCGCTTTTGTGCCAACAGTAATCGAACATATTGAGACATGGCGTGCCATGGAAAAGCTACACGATGCCGGCAAGCTGAAGGTAGGTCAAGGCAGGTGTAGCGGCCTGCAAGTTCCGCGCTTATTTCTCAAGAGCAGTAAAGTTTTTTTTTCGAAAAAAAATTAGGGGAAGAAAACAGGAACAGAATTAAAAAGGAAAAAGTTCAATTCTGGCGAAAGTTCTCGTCACCATTTCTTCTAAAACCCCATATGGGCAACCAAGATATTGCGTCATAGTTCCCTTACATTTGATTACCATTTAAATGAATCGGACTTTGAAACCACTCCATTTCAATGAGTGCTACTGGAATAAAATTGTTCAAAACGAGTGGATCCACAGTGTCGGAGTACCCAGAGACAGTTCAATAAACACTATGGGGAAGATTTGTCAGAACGAAACCGTCAGGGAAAACAATCAGGGCAGACCTATTTTCAAATTATCATGTTGTGCTGAATGTATCGCTCCGCGATAATAAAGCCAGCGACATCGGCAAGCGATGTTACTCTAGTTGCTGATGACCTATGGATCCGGGGTAATATCGAAACAACGCTGGACCATTACGAGAGCAGTGCCTCCTGAGGAATGCCAAGTTCCTGACGGTGCATTATGTCTGGCTTCTCTGCTAGCCGCTGCCCAATAGATGTAGCCACGAAGAAAGTTTTTATGTAGTGGCCCGTCGGTCAGAAAGCAGGAACTTGGGGGGTGAATTTCATTTGGATCTCATTGGCCGCACATATAAGCTCAGAGTGTCTCTCCGCCTAATATTTCTCTTGCTCTGCGGCTGCAAAATCATGCTTGAATTTCGGACCACCGGTCATTTGATGTCTTATTGAATCTTTGTCGAAATTTGTCGATCTTATCAAAATTTGTCGAATTCTTTCAAAAATACGCGAGCTTATTCTCAAGTTTGGTGTCAGTTCAGCCGTTAAAACCAGTCCGTTCAGAAAATTCTTATAAGAACATTGTTTTTCCCCCGAAAACATCCTTATTTTTGAATTTTTGATGATTGGTTTTTCTGATGATGTGGTTTTTAATAAGAAAAAATGGTGTGTTTTGTATTTAGGCGTTGGGTCTATCAAACTTCAGCGCTGAAGACAAGTGGAACTTCTCGTATTGTACAGGCTCGCGTACAGCCGCAAAGTCTTCAGTATATAAGTCATAAATTAATTCCATGACCAGGGGCCTATTTGCACTCCCATCAAAGGCTCTGACTGCTTTAGTGTAATACGTTGAAAAATGAAACTGGAGGAGCGGGGTAGGATGTCGACGAAGTAAAAAGAGGAAAAATGAACGTCCGAAACTCAGCAGTAAAATGTTCCTCGTTCTCAGGGCGTACACGAGCCGCGGAGAAGAAACGTTTGGGTGTGTGATATGAGAAGAGCATAGCGACTAAGCGAGATGCAGCATATCATGGTATGGCAATGAGTAATACGAAAACTCCTCATTTCGGTTGTGGAAGTCGCCACATCCAAAAGAGGTCGCTGCTCATTCATGTTCGAGATCAATGCGCAAACTAAAAAGGTCCTATTCTGCATGTTCTTTGACGGGCTCTTCAGTTGCCACTGGCGCTCCATTCAGCACCCCCTACCCTTCAAACCCGTGAATATTTCATTGTTATCATAGCCTTTAATGTTGAGAGTAGAGTGCTGTATTCCCCATTTCCAAATCATCCTTGTTGGAGGGTGGGCGAGGAGAGGAGAGGGGACATTGGAGTGAGTGGGGAAAAAAGGTAGGAAGGTAAAGGACACAGCGAAGCGACAGTCCTTGTAAAACCGCAAAGCCAGGTGAGAGGGAATCCAAGCCTAGTGGGATCTAAGCATGAAGAGTGATTACTATAGTAGGCGACCCTTAGCCTCAGGAAAAGGAAGAGAATCCGGGTAAAGGATTGAGCGAATTTGTCTTCTCCCTTTCTTCAGCTCTATCGATAAGTCTAGGTCTCAATTCAGAATACCATGGGGAATTCGATGCCTTCACTGGATAAGACCAGTCTTCTCCTGGTCTTACCATTAGTACTAGTGCCACCTACTGTAGGCCCTTTTTTGAATGGCCCCTAAGGCCATGACTGCTCAGTCCCGTTCTAACACTTCATATACACTACTCTATTTACTTTTTTACAGGTAGAATGTCATATCTACCTGCCGCAAGTGGAACTTCAGCAAGTTTGTAAAAAGCTCAACATATCGCTCACTGCTTACGCTCCTTTGGGATCACCTGGCAGGAAGGTGGGTCTCTTTCATTGGTTCGAAACATGTCGTTGCGCACACAGGTCACGCACGTGGAACGATGGTTTAGGCCGCTCGACCTGATGGAGTTTGGCCTGAAGGAGATCCAATGACAGAGCCGATCGTTGAGAAAATTGCTGCGAAACATGGTAAAACTCGAGCACAGGTAACAGGCAATCCTATTGCTGGGTATTCATTTGTGTTGGATCGAGAATCTTGAATTCCAGGTCCTTCTACGACACCTCACCCAGCGTGGGATCTCAGCCATTCCAAAGAGCATCAATCCCGACAGGTTAGGCGACACTAAATCTTCTGGCAGTGACAGCATCGATTTAGATTTCTTTCTCGTCTCCAAAGCGGCCAATTGACCCTCCTCCAGAACCACGACATATTTACCGGATTTTTCCCTTTTCCTTATCTTACCCTAATTTACCGGATTTGCCGGACACAGTCGATAAAACACTTGCTATTATTTCACAAGAATGCTGGGTTGTGAACAAAACTTTCGCCCCAGACGGGACTCGAACCCGCACCTCTCGCTTTCCGGGCAAGTGCGCTACCAGTTACGCTACCGGGGCACCATTTCATTCCAACTCAGCTTTTCATGGTATACTTACCATAGCTTGTCAGCACTCACACTTCTATTGTGATTGCATTCTATTAGGTATCAGAAAAAAACCTTTTTCAGAGTGATTGAGAACATATCTATTTTCAATTTCAAGCTCACTGATGAAGGAGATGGATCAGCTCAACAATGTTAAAACTCGGATAAAGGCTCTTGCTAATTTGACTTGTAAGTTTTAAAGGACGAATTTACGATGGAAAAGCAACCCATTCCAAATTGAGGTAGAGATGGTGAGTAGTACCAGAAAGAAAGCGAAACCACGAAAAACGGCCCAGAACCGGAGAAATGGGACCCCTTCCTTGTCCGTTGATTTGAGCATTGATGGGACTCTCATCGCTTTGCCCTCTTCAACCCTACGCTCTCTCAGCTATCTAATCACTCGCCACCTATTGTACTACGGCGAGTGATCAGACGATCGGTGGGCGGAGATCGCCGAACTCGCCAACTTTGAGCCATGCTAGATCTCAGAGGTCAAATCTTTCGATGCCGATTGCGTGTCTGTCCGCACCCTCAAGAGATTCACCGCTCTCCCCACTAGGCGATTTCTCCCTTCTTCGACCTTCGTTCTTTCCGTGCAATCCTCCTTTAAACAACCTTCGCTTGCCATTCAGCAAGGAATTGCATAGCGCAAAAGCAAATGAGCCTATGTAGAGTAATGTTAATTAGGGTCCGCTGGTAAGCTGGGTAACTCTCTAGATAGCACATAACTGCTCCTTCAGGAAGGGCCTCCCTAACGTACATTTCGATTGGTTTGCGCCCGAGGAAAAAGAGCGTCTGCGTCCTGCTGGCGAGATGTTTGTGAACCAACGCACAGTCCACCTCCCCCCTTTCCCTGATGCTGCCTTTCTAACTGCTTCACGATTCTCACTTTTCATAATAAGGGCCGCAAACGTCGCAATGCCTCGGGGTGGCTCTGCCGCCTTCCCACTGACCTACCACCCCATTTTTTAGGTTGTCTTAGTGAGGTTGTAAGAAATCGAGGTGGCTCAGAGAGTCCGTAAAGCGCATATTTACTTGAAGCGAGCAGCAGTGCTGTCGGCCATCCGTTCTTCCCACACAACGACGTGGATCAATCGAAAATACGAACGACTCTCAAGCTGCATTGAGTGACCGCTCTCGACGCTAATAGATCTGTTTTCGAGATATGTTCACATTCAACAGAGATCATAAGAATTTATCTGATGTCGGCCTAAATGTGGTTACCACGTAGATGACTCGAGCCTGTCTTCACAGAGTTCTTTGACCAAATTTTGCAATAGACGTTGCTACCAAATCCTTTAAAGGCAGATGGTTATCGCTCACTTAAAATGAAGGTGAAGCCGCCGAAGAGGGGCTGAAAAAACACCGAGAAATATCGGATAAAGATTCGTGGGCCTTCCTGCATGGCTGTAACAGGTTTAACGTGTACCACGAGTAGTAGTTAAACTGCGTATTATGCATAGCAAACTTGGATCTCTTTATGTACAGCCAGCATATTACATTAATGGGGGAACAGGGGCAAAGTGAAGAGGTTAATGTTTGAAGGCGGTGAGGCAGTCGTCACAACGTCCGACGTGCAGACTACGCTGGAAACGGGCAGCAGCTTAATTAGCTCCAACTGTGGTTGTTCGAAATCTATGATGACAACACTTACGCCATGATGGACGCTCAAGGGATGGAATTGGTCGCTTAACCTGGATGCGGACCCGGTTTACCGGTTTGTTTCCGCGCTAGGCGAGTCTTCTCAGTGTGCCATCAACGCCCTGCTCTGTCTCTCTGCTAAACAGCTGGACTACGACGGCGGGCGGGAGGGGGCAAAGGGAAGCCATTCGGCGGGACTGGCACCAGCGAGAAGTTTTCACCGGCCACAAAGCAATGCCCTGCTAAAGTCTACGGCGCCCAACACCTTCGCAGACGACATGCCTTGCTCCGCCCACCCTTTGACGGTTGGCCTCCTTTTCGTAGCGAAGATTTAATTCCGTCATTTTTGATTTTCAGATTTAGTAGCATCTTTTCGAGGGAAGGGAGGCATATTTTGGTTTTTATAAGTTGAAGATGGTGGCGAACGGAGGGGGGGGGGGGGGAAGGGTCATGGGGGTGAATATTGAGATGGAAGGGCAAGCCGGGTTGCCTTCCCCTGCTCAACGGCGCATTGCGCAGGAAAGGAAGGTGGGCGGAATATTGGTGTGGCTGGTAAAGGATAAAGCATTTGCCGTTGATCAATCCCTTTTTGGGATGCGGCACGCATTCTACTTCCATTTGTACATTCGTAGTGGCGTTTGAATGCGATGTGGCCTATACAATGACTTGCGGGGGCCAGCCGATGTACAAGTCAGTGTTTTTATCCTCCCAGACAAGTCTGGTACCAATTAACCGACCCCGGAGGGATGGAAGGCTTGGTTGGCCCGGGCGACTCACGACCCAGGATTTGATCCCCGGACCGCTCGCGTGGTAAGCGCGCCACTTGTCACTACACCACTTCCGCCCTCAGGTTCGCTGGTATCCAGTATGCAATGCTAGCAGAAACAGCCAATAGCATAAGCCTCGCTACTCCACAATGGTGATAGAGATACCGTAAAAGGTGGACCTAACACACGAGCTTTTGACCAACATGAAAGTGAAGTCAATATTCCCTGGATTCAGAAACTCTCTTAAAAACACAATTCTTGCCTACGTGCCATAACGCCATGTACGAACCTATACGTGATTAAGGCTCACGTGAAATGCGAGTCTTTACCCGGCGCGCACTTCTCGTAGGTGAAACGCGCGTAATCAAGGTGGCGCCTGTCCACCATCGGTAGACGAAGTTTCGCACCCTTGCTAAGCTCATGTTCTCTATAAGTTTTTGTTTACTACACTCTAACCGATCCCACAAGTTATTAACAGGAGTGTTACCACTTAACATGGCAAATGTGTTTTATAAGAAAACAAGTATGACAACAAAATCACGATTGGCAATATTGAGACAGTGTAACAACAACAACCAACAATGATAAAAAAATCAAAATCTGGACTCTTAAAAGATTTCTACTAACAAACTTATTTATCACAGAATCCGATTCATAACATTAAGCGTAGTTCTTCACGTCCTTCCTGTACTCTTCCAGTACTGGCTGCACCCATGATATCATAATCAATTAATCGCAAACCGTCCTGGCAATTCATGCCATTACATAGTGTGTGGTGGAAAATCCTAGAATTTTCGCCACCAATCTTGACAACCAGCATTTCAATTTTTGAGTATTTCATGGGTTGCCTTGATTGTTGGACATATGCTATACAGAGTTTGGACTTAGGACTCCCAAACGTCGTGCCATTTGTTGTTCTTGTGTGACGGTATATCGTATGTACATTTATGCAATCAGTATGCCTATTTGTCGGATCATGAAATGCCCGGGGGGGGGGCGGGGGTTAATAAAGGAAAAGGTAGGCCGCAGCAGACGAACAACAGAAACAAGATAGCTAATTTGTCCTGGCGGTATACAACTAATGTTGGGCTGAGGATTGCCGTGCCCATGCCACATTCAACCACTCAATTGCTTCTCTCGCTCAGGGCATTCAGTGAAGAAGGCCAATTGAAACGCATCTGGCGCCAGTTTGGCGCAACCAACTGAGTTTTTGATATTTCTTACCGAAACTTTAAAACCGCTCACGACCATCTTTTAATGATTCATTGGCTCAAGTTATTTAAAGTGTCCAATACTTGGGACTGGTATGTCTGTAGTGGGCAGAATGACGGACTTATCTCAGCGCGCGTTCTCCAGCAGGGTGAAAATCGTGTCGAGTACGTGGTCGCAGAGGTACGACCCCCCCCCCGAAATCGAGATCCTGGCACGACCCCCTCTAACAGAGCAAATTAATTCAATTAAAATAAATCCTGCAAAACAAATCAAAAAAAATTCTGCAAAATAATGCTAAGGACGCTTCATCTTGTCATCTATGCACGTCTTCCATCGCTGCATACTTTTGTGTACATACTGAAATATCGACTCGAGGAAAGAGGCATTAACTTTGTGTGACCTCAAGGCGAGGTTCGTTCAGAAACGCACAGAAATCCTGAAGACACGGGGTTGCGATTCAATCTTGATTCTTGCTTGAGTATATCAAAACAGCCGAGTGTATCAAAGGCCGATTCAACGGCAGCTGCGGCGCGATTGTCACTGGGTCAGATTTGCCGAAATTTCAAAAAAAAACGTCCGAATCTACACCCTCGATGAAAAGGTTGCATTCCTCCATTTCACAACCTTTGAAGCAGCTTGAGGTAGAGTTAGATAGAGCTGGATTTCGCGTTTCCAACAAGCATCGAAATTGCTCTGGAAGCCTTCCTTGCAGAAAGATAGGGTCTGTCAAATTTCGTCGAGTAAATGTCGAGGAGGCCGAAATTTTCACGCGAGTTTTTGCCACTTCAAGAGCAATATATCTCTTATATGTAAGATCCTGAAAAAGGGAAGATAGTTTTGGAAAGCGGAAGGTTTGCGCTTCCTGATGGTCTGTTTAGTTTTCTTCTACAGCTTTTTGGTTGAGAGAGATAATTGCGTCGAGGATCTATCGAGGTCGGATCCGGCCACCTGGAAATCCGCTCCCTCATTCACCATTGCAAGTGTGACTCGTTGGCAACACTCGGAATGTGTCTAGAACAATATCTTTGAACGCAAACAATAAGAATAGGAGCAATCGTCATCATCCGATTTGGTATTGGTATAAGCCATGCATCCCTCCTCCACTCACAGTTGCAGAATCGATTGAAAGGTGTTATATGATGGGGACCTTCGAACGAAACTGTATTGTAGTAGACATAGTGTGTTGTGCTATTCCTGTAACCTAAAAAACAACTTCATTTGCCCAGCGCTTTTTCTTCACGGTTGTCGTTTTTCCGACAGGGTCCCTAACAACAGCGTCATTCTCAGCGAGGTATTAAGGGAGAAGGAGCGAGTGATAGGCGGAGGAGGTGCCTTTGCAGCGCGTGCGCACATGTGGCAGTCTTCTTTGCGGGGATGCACTTTCATTCTTTGTACTGCCTTCAAATACGCCCTTCTCATGAAGGTGGAGGAATGGAGCGACTGAACCTGCAAAGAAAATTTAATATCATGTTTTTTTTCGGATGTTTTCATTTTCTGCTGCGCTATACCCTATTACCTATCTGCACCATGATACCAC